GAGTAAAACTATTTGTATTAAGAAATAAAACTCAGTTGAATTTTGAGTATAATTTATTCCATAATATTCAATACATAAGTTCAAAAAAACGATTTATAAATTTATTATATTTTATCATTCATCAAATAATAAATAATAATGAATATAGGCTGTAAAAATTACGGTCTTGCGCTGGTGGGCAACGTACATCGATTACGTCGAGATACTCAACGAGTTAAATAGACCAAAAGCTGAAAAACTATTATTATAATCTAAAAATCGTAATAAGTTACTTGTACAACCAAATTGTCCGGCCCCATAATTCGATTATTGGACCGACCCATCGGGAAATTTCCCGATCTCCTTATCTGCCAGTCCGTTCCTATGTGCAACTGAGGCAGAACTAGGGGGAGGAAGACGGGGATTCATATCCGGATGTAATATTTGTAATTTATAATTGACTACTAGTTTGATATTTTTAACTTTTTTAATGATAATTTCTTTAAAACTCAATAAGTATGATTGTATGCTTATTACTATAAAACAATTGTAGGGAAGAGTGTTTGATTCTTTGTCTATGATAGGCAGGCCCGAATTAACACTATCGTAGGCCTTAGGCCTCTAGTCCTTGCAGGGCCGTTGTCCAGTATTTAAATGATTAAGAAACCTTCTCTTTGGGAGAGGGAGTGTTGAATCTCACGCAGTGCTAAAATTTTAAAACAATAATATTTCCAACATAAAAATTAAATCTAAACTTTTATATGATAACTATTATAAATTTTAAATTATTATTATTAATTAATATTAAATTTTAAATTAAATAAAAGTTTTAACAAATGTTAAAAAAAATTCTCATTTTAATCCAAAATATATACGAGTATAATATAAATTATCAAAGACCATAAAAAAAATTGTTTAATACCAATTTGCATACTACAAAAAAATCATAGCCACACATTTTCGTAGGTCCTAGGCACAATGCCTATAGTACGCTAATATGGCCCTGATGATAGGGCGTAATTTTAATATTTTCCCCGGGCATAAAAATCTATAGTTCCGCTCTTGATGTGCAGTAGGTTACAAGATAGATTTTGAATATGATTTTTAAATAAATGTAGAAAACACTATATTGAAATAGTACCTACAGGAAAAAATATATTTATTTATTAATGGGTTATTAAGAGACACTCTCGAAGAGTAATGAGATACAAAAACTACAGTGTGCATACACTTTAGCATACAATTTAGTTTACATAGTCAAAATTAGAGATGTTATTACAAGAAATCGACATTGATTAAGAGAACTGTAATTAATGCAATTTTTCTTGTCCAAACATGTAAAAAATAATTGAAACTGATGGGTATTATAAGTTGATACATTAAGACAAACATTTTTGAAAAATAATTTTTCAAAACTAAGAAAATTTATCAAGGGACGCATGTTTCTGATTACAATAATAATTATTCATCTACTATTCTATTTCTTTCAAAATTATGAAATTTTTGTTATTTTTAGTAACTCTTTTCTAGACTTAGCGTAAATTTCAGTTGGTAAAGTTGTTTTTGTCTCAATTATCGCAATTGTTTCAAACTAAATACTCACATTGAAACCTTATAGGTCTAAACCAAGGGTCAACAAATGGCGGCCAACGGATGAATTTTAACCGGCCCGCTGACAATGAGAGAAGAAGCCAATAATTTATACGTAAATATTACTACGCGAGACTGCTGTCATAATAAATGTTGCAGGTAACTTCTTTTTGATAGATATATTCCAACACATAAATTCCTTCAACTTTAAACTTCAAGGTAAGCAGAAACTAATTTACCATTTAGTTTCAGAGGTAAATTGTTTTTGTAGAAAAATTGACTTTTTTTACAAGATGTTGGTAATGAACGTTTACATTTTCCCAACTTGAAAAAAACTTTTGATGAAAAAGACGGGATTGATATTAGACATTTTTCGAAGTTTATGGCAAATTTGAAGTCTGAATTCGAAAGACACTTTGCAGATTTCAGAAAAATCCAAAACGTTGTACAACTATTGAACAGTAGTTTTGCTTTGCAGCCTGACGGTGAATGAATTAACGAATCAGTAGAAGTTTTCAAATGCAACAAAGCAAATCTTCAAATGGAAATAATTGAATTCCAATCAGATGAAGTCCTAAAAAATTTGTATAGTGAAAAGTATTCAAAAACTAAAATTGATTCGTCATATGATGAATTTTGGTTGAAATGTGTATTTGAAAAGAAATACCAGACACTGAAATTATTGATAGTGAAAATTTGTACAATGTTTGGCTCCACATACGTTTGTGAGTCTGCTTTTTCAAAAATGAATTACATTAAAAATAAATTCCGGTCCCGACTCACCAACTAACACCTTGAAATTATGATGAAAATAGCGACCACAAACAATAATCCCAACTTAAAGCAGCTAGTTGAGAGCAAGATCTGCCATTTTTCCCATTAAAAATATTCGTAATTGTTTCACATATTTATTAAATTTAATTATATTTTCATTAATTTTAGCTACATAATACGTGTTTATTTTTTTTTTATTTATAAATATAATAGTTTTGGCCAATCGGCATATTATAATAAATATTATATACTTTGAATTATTATGGGCCGCGAGAATTTTTGGAATTCTTAATGTGGTCCACGGAAAGTATTAATTGGTGATCCCTGGTCTAAACTAATACAAATACATATTTTTATCGCATGACCTATGTAAAAAACGTAAATGGTTGTAAACTACTGTGTTAAAAAGTCTGAAATTTATGAAATTCACAAACTAACCCGTCCCAGTAATGGCGGACTACAACACTGGGGTAGATTATTTTACCCGCGGATGATACAACTCGTCTGCGATACGTAGAACTACCATTCGGTCGTGGAATGCATATTTGCAGTCACCCCTATAGCGCAGTACATCGTACTTATGAGTACATCATCCAATAAAAATATAAGAATCCTATATATTTATAATATATTAGACATACTTATTCGATTTCGCCTCAACTTATTATTATTAGACAACAACAATAATATATCTGGCACGCAATAGTATTATCGCATTTCCGATGTGTTATCCTTAAATTTACCTGCTGGTAAATTCCAACAATGAAAGTTGAAAGTGTGGCCCAGATTACATGTTCTATTTCGTTTTTTGTTGTGGCGCAAATTACCAAAATTAATTTTTAGATGTGGCATAAAATACATATTTTGGCGCAAATTACATACGCGCTTAAATGTACCTATTGGTGGCGCAAAATACCATCCTCCATATATTTAACAGTAAATATTCCCAAATCATACATTGAAAATGATACAAATATAACTTCGTATACCTATTAACTATCTATTAATTATTTTCAATTATCGTTTCATAATAAGTACTCACATTTAAAAAAAAAAATAAAAAAAAAAATTATGTTTATATTTTGAAGTTTCACGTAAAAGTAATATTAGTTAGAGGGCCTAGTTTACTTACTGCACCGGGGTGCCATTTCCTGTGCATCTACGCCACTGCATTAAATATATTTACTACCTATAGTTATTTTATGTTGCGTTTCAATTATTATTTTGTTTTTTATGTAGGTACCAATACATTTTTTAGTAAGAACCATGTATGAAATCGGTTACATGGCCAGATAACCAGGGTATATTATACGGACACTTATTTATTATTAATCGCATCACGTTTTCACTGTATTCCAAAGGAATCGGCGGTTTTCGTGCAGAGTCGCATTAAGGTCGATGCTATTCGTGGATAACATTACATGACTGTAATAATACAGAACGGAGTGGGACATAACAACTGTACGTTCCGTGTGCGCGCTTGCTCGTGCGATGACAATAATAATGTTCGTCATTACGTTCGGTAGTCCCGCGATGCATTCGCATTCAGTGGCTGTGCTTACCCTCCATATCGTCCTCGTTGAATTTTATTTTGGCGCATATTTATGAAAAAAAAAAAAAAAATTTGATTTTACTCAAATGCGTATCCTTACTTTGCCACAATCGCTCATTTCGCCAACCTCTAGTTAGGACACTGGTCACGTGTAATTATAATTTAGCTTTTACGGTTCTTGTACCGTGGAAAACGCTAAATTACTTCGTAATACCACTACTATTAATGCCATTGACGGTATATCATTTTTATAATGTACACATAAGTACCGGAATGCATTGTACTATGCGAACATGTTATATAATACAGTGCGGGAATCAGTAATTCACTTCTAAGAAGGGCGATAATTTAAAAGAAAAATATTCGAAGTCCAGAAAGATATACATACAATTAGTTTATAAATATATTTATTTTTGTATTAAAACGTCTTAAGATAAATCATTTAATAGGATATAGCATAAATTATAGTTTCATAGTAATAATTATATACATTTTATTATTTGATGACAGAAATTACTTATTCATTATTAATTTAATACGTTGTCCTGAGCCAGTATTTTTTTTAATTTAATAGTTTTGAAAAACAATTAATGCATAGAATTTTTTATAGGTGGAGATCAGTTAATTTTAAACATTATTTATTATTTAAAAAAGTTATTTTAAAGAAAGACGTTTTACTTATGTGTGTGGAATAAAACATAATATCAGTTTATTTTATTGCCATCGTTGTACAGTTCATGTACTTAACCAAAAAATGTTTTGCTCAATAATATATTGACATTAATAGTATCTATTTAGAATCTACTAATAGATTAATACCAATTTTATATGAATCAAGATAATATTTTTATTTTTAATACTTTGTTCATACAAAAAATGTTTGATACTCTAAAATTACCCTATATTTGATAATTAACTTTGGTACTAATATAATATTTTAAAAACGTGAATTAATTATGTATCAAGCAATTTAGGAGTAGAGTATAATAATAAATTATAATTTATATATTGTATATTATATTATATTATATTATAACATTGATAAATATTATCTAAAACTTTAAAAACGTTAAAATTGATTGTAATTTATAACATGGAATAGACATAAGAAGAAAAATGAATACGGTAATATTAATTAAATTTATAAGATAATATTTAGCATACACAAATAACTAATGAATAATTATTATTCATCACATCATGATTGCAAGCACTTTGGCTAATACTTAGAATAACAGCAAATAAGCAAACATTACATTCTATTATAAAATAATAAATTTTTCAAAAAACTTTATTTAAAGTAATCTGGATACTTTAAATAAATTTCCTTAATGATAGCAATATCTTGATCTTTAGTACATGAACTATCATCTGCAAGAATTTCTTGAAGGCAGTTACTTAAATCTGATAACTTATGTCCTCGTTCTAAGTATTCTGTATTAAAAATAACATTCTTACAAAGTTCTAAGTATGAAGTACGAGCCTAAACATAAAAAACAAAACAAAACAACAATACATAAATAATAATTAATTTTTAAAGATTTTTATGGCTAAGTATAACACAAATAATACCTAAAATAATCTAAGTTATACAGTTATGTCATGATATCTCGAATATTGATAACTCAATTTATTTTTACTTTTTTTTTTTTTTTAATTTCAGTACCTATAGTATCTAAGTTATTTATTTTATACCATAGTACTTTAAGTTATTACCTTTTCATTAGATGAAATATTCAATAATTGGCGTATGATAATATCAACTAAAACTTCTATATCATTAACATAAAACAATTTGGCCGTTTTTGAGTCAGCTAAAATATCATTCAACAATTTTTCTACTGAGTTTTTGGGCTTTTTCTTTAACTTTAAAATTTGAACGGGATCTTCTATTAAAATATGTAATAAAGTATAAGATTTATTTTTTTTATATGTCTATGTTTATAATAAATTATTATTATTCTAACTTTCAATATTAAGTAGTATCAATAAATTTTCAGTGAGCACTTTAGCATTATCTCTCTGGGCCAATCCTGTAAGTGTTATGTTTGATTCAATATTGGGAAACTGAAGATTATAAGACAATAATAAATTTATCAGGCATTCAGTCTTTTTTTCATCATTGGAAGATTTTAGTTCATTGTCTTCTATTTCGATAAGTACTTTGGTAACAAAATCTAAATTCATGTAATCTGAAAAATATGAAAAAAAAAATGTTACTCAGTAAAATTTTTTATTAAAATAATAATATTCTACCAAAGCATGAAGTAGGTAAAGTCTCTCCAACAGATAGAATAAGTGTGAGAAATTCAGCAAGAACTATTTGCTTGTTGAAATCATCTTTGTCATTTTGAAAGTCTCTAAAAATATAAAAAATCACACTATAGAATAACTATAGAAATTAAATTTTTGTAACCATTTTATTCTAATAGTATTGACTTAACGTAAAATATGATAAATATTAATGATTAAATAAACAATGTAGAAGTGAATTTACATTGGAAATGCAAAAACATAATGAATAAATATTATTTCTAATAGAATATAAATTTGTTTGTTTAGTAAATTGTGATCATGATTAATATTAATACTATTATAATAAATAATTAGCAATATGAATATAATTAATTGTTATTTAATCATTAAATATAAATATTAATCATTATACAAATAAACTCATTATTATTGATTACTTTTATCTAATATTACATGAATATTATTATTAAGTGCAAATATAACTATGAAGTTCTCTGTGTGTAACAAGTCACAAACTATCAATAATATTTGGAATTTCAATAAGATGTCAGGTACCTATGGGCATGAATCCAATGAGATTTTTACATTCCACTGGGTTTAAGCATGCATAAAGATTTTCTAACAGACAAGGTGTCTGCAACAATAGTTTCAATGATGTCTGGCAGTACTTCAAAAACAAAAAAAATACTTTCAATGAATTTACATCAACAATTTAGTTAAATGATTTTTTTTTTTTTTAAATAATAGGAAACAAAAGAGTTAAATATATATATACACTAAAACACTAATACATTAACTCACCCTAAATTATAAATCAATACTAATTATATACTATATTATTAAAATAAAATATTACTGAATTTATAAATGTTAACAACCAATACCTAGCTAATTCCATTGGCAGTATGGAATTTATTATAATTTCAACAACCACAAAATTGAGTTTGCATAGTTCTGAAAATATTTCAAGTAAACGCTTTTGAATAACCCATCGTAATTCCATCTGATAATATCCTAATAAATTGTTAATTGATGTATATTGATCAATTTTTAAAATGTGGTTTATAACCATTGGATCTCCATTTTTCTATAAAATAATAAAAATAAATAATTACAAAATAAACAAGGTATCTGTGATTTTAAGTATATTTACAACTATAATAACCAATATTTCTAGATGATATCTCAGAAAAAAGTCAAAGGACTTATTAAAAAAAAGGCATTGAAGAATCAAGCATATTATATAATTAACCATGGTTAAATTTTTCAGTTATGTTTAAAAGACAATGATTGAACTAATACTAGAAATATAACATTGATTATGACTATGGAAAATAAATTTGAACAAGGATATTGTAGTTTAGTTTAATAAATGAAAAACAAACTAAAATTTGACTAGAAGTAATTCCATGTCAATGGGTATCATTCAATCATTCATATGAGACAATATAAGAAGTTTAAGCAATCATACTATCCAATGTCTAGAAAGTTTGTGTGATAAATACAAGAACTTAACATTGAAGTGGATGATAAATTTTATCACCACCTGTTGATAGAAAGATGATATTCAATTAATGCTAAAAATGATGGATTTTTATATAGAATACTAAGTACTAGTTATAAGCGGTAAATTTTAAGTTTATTTTATAATATGTCATAATATACTAATTTCAATGTTATTTTACTAAGTGAACCATTTTCTAATTTTTTAAAACTCTAAATTTTTAATTTCAAGGGCATTAAATAAATAACTAGTTTTTTTTAAATAATTTTTGAAGATATTACATACCTAATATAATATAATAATAAATAAATAAAGAATGATTACCAAAATACTTGTGAGTTCTATTAAATAGTCTTCAATTTGTACATGATCATCATATATTTGCCATGAACGTTGTTGTGAATCTTCTTTAGCTGCTGTTAAATTTGCTAACAATTGTTGCATGCATAAGCCATCTTTTGTATTTTCCAAGCATTCTACAGGTAATGTTGAGCTTGTAGGTGGGAATGTGTCAATTATATCACGTACATTGTTAAGACAAGACTTCGCTGGTTCATCTACTAGATTAGACAAATATTGAATCATAACAGAAACAGCAACTTGAGAAAAATTGTAAGACAATCCTGTATGATTTCTTACCTAAAATAATAAATATTTTATTAAAATGTTATTAAACTTTTATGATAAGGAATTAAGAGATTGAAAATAAATAAAATATGTACTAGTTTTATATTAGTTAGTACTATTTAAAAAACATTATTTCATAACTTTATTATATAAAGAAATTATTTTAGTATAAAATTAAATATGAACTAATTAATTTATAAAACAGTAAAATTAAAAAAAATTATAAAAATATTAAACAAAAATTCATACTTGTTGCACTATTTCATAAATATCAGGAATAGTTATTTCCTTGGGTCTTTGAGGAATACAGTTAATTTTTTGTATTTCATTTAAAGTTTGTTCAGATAATTCAGTTTGATTACACTGTAATTATAAAACACTTAATAAAATATTTAAAATTGAGTGTATAATTCATTAAAATAAATTAAAAAATATTTATTTTAAATTTATAAGTACTCTAGTTTAATTTCATCTTTTTTTTTTTTTAACTAATTTTTATAGGAATAATATAAATAAAACAGCAAAACCTTATCAATAGTTTTGTTTTGAACTGGTGTATCCAATATGTTATGTGTTATAGTTTTCTGTTTAAATTGTTTTTGTCGTCTCAATAATGACTCATACAACTTATATTGATCAGAAGAATTATCATTAACATCAAGTTTTTGTTGAATGGTCAGCAAACATTTTTCTAAGAATGTTAAAACATGAGTATCCTTTACCTATTACAAATATAAATAATTAATGAAACATAATGATTACCAATATAATCACTTACATAAATAGTTTTCACATAATTGTATGGCACATATCCTAAATCACCAGTATGGTTTATGACTAAACACCAACTCTTTTTATCTGCAATATCGCGATAGATAAAAAATTCATCATTTGTTTTAAAGTCCAATGTTCTCTCTGAAGTACTATCTTCATAATCATATAATGCTTTAAGCATTTCATAACCTAAAAAGTGTTATACAATTAAATTCATTCATACATTTATAATATTATTTGTTTTTCAATTAAATAAAAGTACCTAAAGTTAAAAAATTAATTATATCTAACTTTTGACGATATATTCAATTATTTTGGTAGAGTAATATATTTTATACACAAATAAGCTTTCATAAGAAAATCTACTTTTCAACTTTAAAATAAACACTAAAAAAAAAAAAAAATACTTAAGATATTTTTCTACAGATTTTTATATTTATTGTATAAATCCAAGAGTTTCTTGGAGCATCAATGGACAAAATTGAATTGACAAAATAACTAATCTTATCAAATAAAAAATAATAAAATCCAAAAATTATAGTAAGTATATTATGTTGAACTTATACCATTATGCTAAATCATTCCTTACTTTAAATAAATATAAGATATGTAAGTACTTGTTTTTAAGTTTTTAGGTACAGTACTATAAATTGTACGTAGCTAATAAAAAATCATAAGTATGCAAACATAGATTTTATTGTTCATATTAACCAACACTAATCAAGTATAATTTTTAAATCAGTTATGAAAAATATGTTTTCATTAGAATTTTATTTATTTTAATTTATCATAACCATGAATGTTTTAGTTCTAAAAGAATTAATAAAAATTTGATAAATTGTATGATACCAAAGTTACTACAAGACCGAGAAGTATTTCGTAAAGTTACAAAAATTATGAAAAAAACACATATTGACAGAACATATTGAATTCAAGCAGGTACTTAAAAGAATAAAGCGTTTTATCTAATATTCATATCTAGCTTACTACATTCTGATGTATCGTTCATATTCAGCCGCGAACGGATCATACATTAACAACTAATGTCTGAAAATATGTCATTTCAACAATTAAATTGTCCCCTACATAATCGATCAATAATTATTTTTAATCTTTAGATAAGATAAAACATAAAACTATTATGATACCACAGAATAGACCTATTATGTGATGACATTTCATAGTGTTTACTGTGTTGGAATCATGATCATATCGTTGTGCATAGGACCAGATAGCGCAGCCGATGTTCGTGGATAAAAAACAGCTGATCTCCCGGGTCCATTTGGTCTTGAGTAAAGCGCACAGAAACGTAGACGGTAAATGTATAAATATTAAATTACATATTGCATCGTTTAAAATACGATGTGCTATAGTGGTATTTGACTATAGCTACAAATAAGAAAGTAACAATATTTCATTTACTACCCACTGTATGCGCATGTAATTATTAATATGACAATTATACTTGGATTGTGCACCGTTAAATATATTCCTTGAATTTTTATTGTCGTCAATTATTATTACATCAAAATATAATCAATTATATTTTATCTCGTCAAGCACATTCAAGTTTCAAGCATGTTACATGGCTTTTACTTATTTTACTTAATATTAATATTTATATTAATTTTATTTTAATTATTTAATTTATATTAATATATTAATTTATATTAATATTTATATAGATCTTTTTAACGACTTTATCGCTAACCACTATGTCGGTGCAGGCATGTATACAGGGGGGGGGGTCACTGAAATTGAATCGAGTAATATTCAAAATATCACAACCAAAGTTGATGTACCAAATGCTTTGCAGGCCTAACTTGGTACAAATACAGACAACGAATTTTTAAAAAATTATTCTCTAGATATTGGATTGTTTTTATCAACTTCTAATAATATAAATGATGTAAAAAAAAATACGATTTATTAAAAAATCCATGGACACCAACCAAAAATTACCAATTCCACAACGAAAAATAAAGGTGGCTGAAATTTCAAATAGACTGGTTAAATTATTTTCCTTGGCTTGTTTACTCCCAAAAAATATTTTATAACACCCCTCTCCCCCCGGAATTTTATTTTGTATACGTGCTTGTGTCGGTGCCTACTGTCGTGGCATTCTTCAAGATGAGCCCTGTGCACAAGCCTTGTATAGACGTATTCTGTACTTCGAAATCATTACAATTTTTGGTTTTACTTCAATTATTTTTAAATTATTTTCATCACAATTGATGAATACTTAGTTTTAATTGAATAACATTACACACCAATCAACGACCGTGTAATAATAACCAATATTGTTTAATATTTTATTGTTTGTGATATAAAATTGACTGTTGTAACAGTGCATTAACCTGAATGTAAAAAATGCGTTTTATTAAATCTCAACAATCGTTTATTGAAGCCATTTGCCATTACGGATTTGCCGAAATCATATTGATCCTGTGCGAATGGACGATTACACGCGTTGTCATGGTGGCAGTGTTCCAAGGTCACTGAAATTTTATCTGTACTAACTCCGTGTCCGCGTATACGATTTATATATGTTGTGCATTTTAGCCTGTATGTATATCTACTATATATGTATATGATGAGATCATAAATACAAATATTGGTTTTTGATATACATGAAAAAAAGAAAAAACTTCGCGTCTATGAATCGTATTATTTTTAATGAATATATTCCATGATATTCTATACAACAACCAGAATCAAGTTATCTACAAGTATGTTTTGAAATAGGTAAAAAACAAAATCACCCTTTTTATATTTATAATAATAACTAATATTAAATAATATAACATTGTACATTGTTATATATATATTATGTATTATTATTTTATTGTAAATTATTCCCAGATAGAAAATGTATCGGAAAACTAATTATGCAATTGATCGGTCAAATATATATCCATTGGTTTTTCTATTTTTTAATTTTTTAAATACGAATACAATATTTACTAGATAGGTATCACTTATTTTATAAGAAGTTATGATTTTGTGATTTTGCATTTTAGCGATTTTAACAAAAGTATGTGACTCATATGTAATGGCCCCATTGAGCGCGTGCAGCTTTACACGCGCGGTAATCGCTGAAAGAACAAAATAGTTTGACATTCGGCGATTAATCTCTGTCAAAATGTCTTCCGCGTCAGTTATGTCCGAACAAATAGCTGCCGCTGTGTCTTCTTTTTCAATATCGCTTTTTATAGCTTCCAAAATTGTATAAAAAGTAGTTTCACTCATTCGATAATACTCAAAAAACTTGACTAAATGATTTTTTAATTTACTGAAAAACATATGAAATTCCCCTTCAGATAACCTATGTTTATTTATTTCGTGAACCCATAAACGGGTTTTAACGAAATTTACTTTAATATCAATTAAAGCAGCACTTTCAGCCAGCAGAAAACGCATGTAAAATCGCTTAATCGTCTTCGTCAAAATCGGTAGTGGATATCGCGCGTATAAAATTACAGAAACGTTCAAAATGCATAAACGTAGAATCGCTGCCAGTGGGGCTGCAACTTTAGACTGTTTTGCAGTCATTATTAAACAATATGCAAATGCAACAAGTTCCGAACCCTACTAAAAAGTATCAAATGTATTTAATTAGATAAAAGTGGTCGTTTATACAAACTGTTGGTCTATCACATACTAGCTAATAATTTGTTTGTTATATCATTAATTTTATAATAGATTAATATTTTCTAGAATGAAAATAATTTTGATATAAATTAAAAATATTGAACATAAGGTAATTTTAATTTCAATACACTCAGTACCCAATTTTCACATCTGACTTCATCTTTAAAAAATCGAAACATGCTTAGGTTGGGAAACTGTATCATTATTTTGAAACAATTAAAATATTGGCACTTACTTCCAGGCATGATTAAAATTGTTATTAATTTTCAATCACACGAAAATGTTTGAAATACTAAATATAAGAACATTAGTGTTACCGTTTCGAATAACAATCGACAAGTGCAGTCAGTGGCGTAGCTAGGATTTTCTGAAGGGGGGTGTTAATTATAATTATTAAATATTATATATAATACGTAAAAACTAAAACTTTTATTTTAATTAATTAATATGTATACATAATGTCTGTAATAGAGATGTAATGTATATTCGAATATTTGACTATTCGAATATCAGTATTCGATGCTACAATACCTATTATTATTAAACGTTTTGTGTTGCACGAAAACATAAACGAATAATTTTCGTCACGTATTGTCGCAATCGCGATAATGTTAACCTGTATATATGTAATTAGTATTGTGCATTATTTTATATTTCATATTGTATTATCGATTTACTTATATTCCTATAATAATGTAATACAGTGGTTCCCAACCCATGGGCCACGGCCCACAAGTGAGCCGCGAGCAGGTGGTACTGGGCCGTGAACCATATTTTATTAACATTACTTACATATATTTTTAAAATATTAAATATCAGCAAGTGAAGAAGATTCGTTGATTGAACTCTAATGTGATCAGACTCTAAACTCGTTTTTTAAAACTACACCTTTATTATCATTATACTTAAATATTCGGCGAGACTTTCCAGCAATTTTTAAAATTTTACTTAGAAATTTGGTGGGCTATATTTCGACAACCTGTGTGTCTTTGTGAACGAGCTTTTTCTACTTTTTAAAAAATAAATGTAGGAATAAATTGAATTTTGAGTGATTTAAGGCTAAAACTTTTCATTTTTAATCCAAATATTGATTCTCTCATTGGGAACAATCCAAAATTACATTAAATTGTTTAACTCTTGAATAATCTACTTCAATGAAGTTCTATTTTTTGATAAACAATTGTTTTTTAATAAATAAATTGTAATAACTAACGTATGTGCATATTATACATATATAACTATTGGTGGGCCTCAAACATTTTCTACGAAATTGGTAGTCCGCACTACTAAAAAGGTTGGTAACCGCTGATGTAATATATGATACGTTTCAAGGGGGGTGTCATATCTACCAAACACCCCCCTTGTATACGCCACTGAGTGCAGTCTATTATCGAGGGTAAAATGAATGTCTAGAAAGACGAATTTAATTTTGAAATGAAAATGATAATTATTATTGAAAAATATTTATTTTAATTTATTTATGTGTTGTACTTATTTTATACAACATACCTAACCTTCCAGTGGTGACTCTAGGATTCTATTTTGGGGGGGGGGGGCATAAGGAAAACCAATTTTTTTTTAAACAATTTTTGGAATGCTTATATCTATGTATGATAATTTACACTTTGTATTATATCTATAATATTAAGAGCTCATAAATAATCACAGTGATCTTATTAAGTACATCCAGGGCCGTCCCAAGGTTTTTCAGGGCCAGGGGGAATTTAATTTTGGGACCCTTCGACCATAATAATAAGATATGACAAACAAAATACTCACTGAAAACAACAACATTTTTCTAAACGTATTTTTCCAAACCTTAACCAATCAAGCTCTTTTAAATTGATGTATTGTATCACATACTTACTACTTACATAATGCAAATATGTAACTAACCGCACCGTTGGAAGAAATTGTTTTGACTGCGTGACTGGTCATGCTCTTACGCGCGCATTGTATGACTATAAGTATTACATTATAATATTAAGGATTCGCGGTAATAATATATTTTCACCTCGAAATTTGCCATTTAAAATGATGGCTTTGATAACATTAATGACTAATCGCGTGCCGTTGCACAACCACCATGGGTTCAAATTACGAAGCAAAATAACCCGAGATCTAACCTTCAGTTGTAAATTATGCGGTGGCTTGCCTGGTAAATCCAATAAAAACTCTGTTGGATAATTAACAGCTTCAGTAGTATCACAAACTGATCAATGGATTTGTATGACACTAAGTCTCCTGGTAATAAATGTTGTACCTTGAGATTCAATTCGTTGACGTCCACATTTTTTGCTGCTAAAATTGCTCTTTCCGCCTGATTAATAAAATAATATATTAAATAGTTTTAATATATTGTGTTACATTATATTTTAATCAATATTTTTATACTTTTATATTAATACTAGCTGACTCGACAAACGTTGTTTTGTCATATAATTATTTCTGGAGAATATTTTGCTAGAAAAAAATAAATAATTTATTATAAGTGTGTTAGGATGTGGTATGTAAGTGGAAGAGGTATGGAGTGTTGTGAACGGTGACGAAATATAAAAATGAAAAAAACATCAAACATTTATTTTTTTAATAATTTATTAACATTGATCCTTTAA